ATAAACCCACCTGTAGTACTATAGAAACATTTAGGATGTGATCTACCTACCTGCAGTGATATATCTACATACCTGTTGTCATCTACCTACCTGTTGTGCTATATCGACATACCTGTTGTGCTATATCGACATACCTGTAGTGCTATATCTACCTACCTGTTGTGCTATATCTACATACCTGTTGTGCTATATCTACCTACCTGTTGTGCTATATCTACATACCTGTTGTCATCTACCTACCTGTATTGTCATATCTATATACCTGTTGTGATCTACCTACCTGTTGTGCTATATCTACCTACCTGTTGTGCTATATTAGCCTACCTGTTGTGCTATATCTACATACCTGTTGTGCTATATCTACATACCTGTTGTAATCTACCTACCTACCTGTTGTAATCTACCTACTTGTATTGTCATATCTACATACCTGTAGTGCTATATCTACATACCTGTTGTGCCATATTTACATACATGTTGTGATCTACCTACCTACCTGTTGTAATCTACCTACTTGTATTGTCATATCTACATACCTGTAGTGCTATATCTACATACCTGTTGTGCTATATCTACATGCCTGTTGTGCTATATCTACATACCTGTAGTGCTATATCTGCATACCTGTTGTGATCTACATACTTGTATTGTCATATCAACATACCTGTTGTGCTATATCTACATACCTGTATTGTCATATCTATTTACCTGTTGTGATCTACCTACCTGTTGTGCTATATCTACTTACCTGTTGTGATCTACCTACTTGCATTGTCATATCTACATACCTGTTGTGCTATATCTACCTACCTCTTGTGCTATATCTACCTACCCGTTGTGCTATATCTACCTACCTGTTGTGCTATATCTACATACCTGTTGTCATCTATCTACCTGTATTGTCATATCTATATACCTGTTGTGATCTACCTACCTGTCGTGCTATATCTACCTACCTGTTGTGCTATATTAGCCTGCCTCTTGTGCTATATCTACATACCTGTTGTGCTATATCTACATACCTGTTGTGATCTACCTACCTACCTGTTGTAATCTACCTACTTGTATTGTCATATCTACATACCTGTAGTGCTATATCTACATACCTGTTGTGCCATATTTACATACCTGTTGTGATCTACCTACCTACCTGTTGTAATCTACCTACTTGTATTGTCATATCTACATACCTGTAGTGCTATATCTACATAGCTGTTGTGCTATATCTACATGCCTGTTGTGCTATATCTACATACCTGTAGTGCTATATCTGCATACCTGTTGTGATCTACCTACTTGTATTATCATATCAACATACCTGTTGTGCTATATCTACATACCTGTATTGTCATATCTATATACCTGTTGTGATCTACCTACCTGTTGTGCTATATCTACATACCTGTTGTGATCTACCTACTTGCATTGTCATATCTACATACCTGTTGTGCTATATCTACCTACCTGTTGTGCTATATCTACCTACCTGTTGTGCTATATCTACCTACCTGTTGTGCTATATCTACATACCTGTTGTGATCTACCTACCTACCTGTTGTGGTCTACCTACTTGCATTGTCATATCTACATACCTGTAGTGCTATATCTACATACCTGTTGTGCTATATCTACATACCTGTTGTGCTATATCTACATACCTGTTGTGCTATATCCACATGCCTGTTGTGCCATATCTACATACCTGTAGTGCTATGTCTACATACCTGTTGTGATCTACCTACCTACCTGTTGTGGTCTACCTACTTGCATTGTCATATCTACATACCTGTAGTGCTATATCTACATACCTGTTGTGCCATATCTACATACCTGTTGTGCTATATCTACATACCTGTTGTGCTATATCCACATACCTGTTGTGCTATATCCACATACCTGTTGTGCCATATCTACATACCTGTAGTGCTATGTCTACATACCTGTTGTGCTATATCTACAAACCTGTTGTGCTATATCTAAATACCTGTTGTGCCATATCTACATACCTGTTGTGCTATATCTACATACCTGTTGTGATCTACTTACCTGAAGTGCTATATCTACCTACCTGTTGTGCCATATCTACATACCTGTTGTGCTATATCCACATACCTGTTGTGCCATATCTACATACCTGTTGTGCTATATCTACAAACCTGCTGTGATCTACCTACTTGTATTGTCATATCAACATACCTGTAGTGCTATATGTACCTACCTGCTGTGCTATATGTACCTACCTGTTGTGCTATATCTACATACCTGTTGTGCTATATCCACATACCTGTAGTGCTATTTCTACGTACCTGTAGTGCTATATCTGCATACCTGCAGTGCTATATCTACATACCTGTTGTGATCTACCTACCTGTTGTGTTATATCTACCTACCTGTAGTGCTATATCTACATACCTGTTGTGCTATATCTACATACCTATTGTGCTATATCTACATACCTGTTGTGCTATATCTACCTACCTGCTGTGCTATATCTACCTACCTGTTGTGCTATATCTACATACCTGTAGTGCTATATCTACTTACCTGTAGTGCTATATCTACCTACCTGTTGTCATCTACCTACCTGTAGTGCTATATCTACATACCACTGTATCTATCTTTCACTGTGGAAGCCGCGGTTGCTGAGCGGTCTAGGCGTCTGACTCTGTGTGGTGGCGATTAGGTGCCTGACTCTGAGAGTGTGGGTTCGAATCCCGGATCGGATTCACACAATGTAGGTAAAACGCTGTTGAGTATATCTGTCACGTTTTACCTACATTGTGTGTATGACCCTTCTATGTTGAATATACCTGTAACGTTTTACCTACATTGTGTGTATGACCTTTCTGTGTTGAGTATACCTGTAGCGTTTTACCTACATTGTGTGTATGACCTTTCTGTGTTGAGTATACCTGTAACGTTTTACCTACATTGTGTGTATGACCCTTCTATGTTGAACATACCTGTAACGTTTTACCTACATTGTGTGTATGACCTTTCTGTGTTGAGTATACCTGTAGCGTTTTACCTACATTGTGTGTATGACCTTTCTGTGTTGAGTATACCTGTAGCGTTTTACCTACATTGTGTGTATGACCTTTCTGTGTTGAGTATACCTGTAACGATTTACCTTCATTGTGTGTATTACCTTTCTGTGTTGAGTATACCTGTAACGTTTTACACACATACTGTGGGTTTAAACTGCCATCAGTGTTTTGTTACCTAGAATGACGTGAACACGGAAAAAGCAAAACACTTTTCAGAATGTGTCAGTGCACTGACAACCTCACGTTTTACTTCGCTCTGAATGTCTAACAGCAAATGATGTATTCATTCAAAATTGTTTTATGGGCGTTTAATCTTTTTTAAGTCGGTATAAATTAGATGACCGATCGTTGACTCTTGAGAGATCATATGATGTATTCATTCAAAATTGTTTTATGGGCGTTTAATCTTTTTTAAGTCGGTGTAAATTAGATGACCGATCGGTGACTCTTGAGAGATCATATGATGTATTCATTCAAAATTGTTTTATGGGCGTTTAATCTTTTTTAAGTCGGTATAAATTAGATGACCGATCGGTGACTCTTGAGAGATCATATGATGTATTCATTCAAAATTGTTTTATGGGCGTTTAATCTTTTTTAAGTCGGTGTAAATTAGATGACCGATCGGTGACTCTTGAGAGATCATATGATGTATTCATTCAAAATTGTTTTATGGGCGTTTAATCTTTTTTAAGTCGGTATAAATTAGATGACCGATCGGTGACTCTTGAGAGATCATATGATGTATTCATTCAAAATTGTTTTATGGGCGTTTAATCTTTTTAAGTCGGTGTAAATTAGATGACCGATCGGTGACTCTTGAGAGATCATATGATGTATTCATTCAAAATTGTTTTATGGGCGTTTAATCTTTTTTAAGTCGGTATAAATTAGATGACCGATCGGTGACTCTTGAGAGATCATATGATGTATTCATTCAAAATTGTTTTATGGGCGTTTAATCTTTTTTAAGTCGGTATAAATTAGATGACCGATCGGTGACTCTTGAGAGATCATATGATGTATTCATTCAAAATTGTTTATGGGCGTTTAATCTTTTTCAAAAGTCGTTTGTAAAGTCGGTGTAAATTAGATGACCGATCGGTGACTCTTGAGAGATCATATGATGTATTCATTCAAAATTGTTTTATGGGCGTTTAATCTTTTTTAAGTCGGTATAAATTAGATGACCGATCGGTGACTCTTGAGAGAGTTGCCTGCGTGCAGTTTTAAGGTTATTTACCCTGGAAGATTGAGGATTAAAAGAGGCCTCCAGCAACTTACAGGCATGTAAGACGTAAGAGGTAACAGAATGGATATGAAGGTATTGCTTGAGTGTGCGTATGGTGCCCCAACGCTTGTGTTTGTTTGTAGTTTAACGCCATTTTCCAGCTTTTTGACAGCGGTCTATAAATAATCGAGTCTGGACCATACAATCAAGTGATCAATATCATGAGCATCGATCTCCTCAATTGGGATACGATGGCATGTGTCAACCAAGTCAGCGAGCCTGACCATCCGATCCCGTTCCTCGCCTCTTAAGACAACCATGGGTTGCTGAAGGCCAATTTTAACCCGGACCTCAACGACGTGGACACGTGCTCAGGATTTCAATCATCGGATTGTTTGGTCCTAATATATTTACATGTCACCATCGTGTAAATAGTAATAGTCCGCTTATATGGCGCTCATATCCAGGCACATTGCCTGCTCACGGCGCTACGTACACGTTACTATCACCGGTCATAGGACACTATCGTACTTTCAGAAACTCTTTCAACTCGCTGGGGATCATACAGAAATGCTGCCAGTTAGGCGCAATGAACTAAACACACTGCCAGCACATCATCACGGGTACCCATTTTACAGCTGGGTGTACTGAGACAATTTGGATCTAAGTATCTTGTCAAAGGATACTACACAAATGTGCCCACCTCGGGACCCGAACCTAGGTGCCTCCACCGGGGATCGAACCCGGGCGTTCGGCGTGACAGGCAGACGCGTTACCACTGCGCTATTGCGCTCCAATAAATGAAATATTGACGCGTGATACATAAAACATCCAAAACACTAGGGCTGTTTTACTTTCTTTTTAAGATGTTCAACAATTTCGTCAGAGGAAGGACCTGTACAATTAACTAATGCACGTATCTCTGTTGATAACGAAAGCATGCATTAATGACAAGTGTATACTACGATATGCCATGTGGCTGATGGTTTGGGATAAGTGGGGGAAATGGTTGTGGACTGTAGATGTCCGTAGGAGACGTTTAATCTCTCAACATAAACACAGTTAATACAGTGTTATATATAACTCTCCTATTTTCAATCTTGTTTTGTTTCAGGTGGTCTAAATATTCCGCCCTTCCTGAATGCTGATACCCTGAGGCAGTTGATGTAGAAAGGGTATTGTTCGTATTGCTATTATTAAACGGTCTTTCTATTGTTTTGACTCTCTTTGTCTTCATTACTATTGGAATTCAGACACGATTGTTGAGTTTGATGATTTTACACAATCAGTAATTATCTTTTGTAACAGAGAATTCGACGTAATCCGTATGTATTTTATGTTTACCTTTTGTACAAATGTCAACTCCAACGTGATAGCGTTGTACTTTAATTGTTTTGCATTACTTCGATATCATTAGGGGTTCATTTGTGTTATGTGGTAGTGCTATTCACTGTCGTACAATGTTCCAAGTGTAATACGTTGTAGCTGTTGACGTTCATTAAGGGTTGGGCACGGGGCGGTGGGGTAGCCTAGTGGTTAAAGCGTTCGCTCGTCACGCCGAAGACCCGGGTTCGATTCCCCACATGGGTACCATGTGTGAAGCCCATTTCTAGTGTACCCCATCGTGATATCGCTGGAATATTGTTAAAAGCGGCGTAAAACCAAACTCACTCAGTTGTGGGCTCTATATTTAGACGTGTGCTACATTGTAAAAAAGATCGGGAATATACTACAAGGTGCTGATTCCGAATTGTTTTTGCTTTTCATTGTAGATTTTTCTAGATGTTTTCTTTGTTATATAAGGGGGACTAGCTATTGCTTCTTATCTCACATTTCATCTCAAGTGACAAGAAGACCAGCGTCGTGTGTGATGATCATTATACCCTCAAAACTCAGCCTTTCTGCAAAGTTGGATTACTTTGCTGAGAGGTGAATATCTACATCTCTGGACCCGTGAAGATCCGGGTTAGAATTGATCTTCAGTAACCCATGCTTGTCGTAAGAGGCGACTAATGGGATCGGGTGGTCAGGCTCGCTGACTTGGTTGACACATGTCATCGATTCCCAATTGCGTAGATCAATGCTCGTGCTGTTGATCGCTGGATTGTCTGGTCCAGACTCGACTATTTACAGACAGTCGCCATATAGCTGGAATATTGCGGAGTGCGGCGTAAAACTAAACTCACTCACCCACCATCTCTGCCTTTATTGAGATAATGAATGCTCTTGTATTATACTGCCTCTGAATTTGTACTGCCACTCTCCATATATACTCTTCATAAAAAGAAACTTGACATTGGAACAATTTGAATTTGAATATTTGACACAATCCATTCCATGCTGAATCCCAACTTGTAGGAGAATGGTTGCCGACGACAAAACGTTTGCAAAAAGATACGTTGAACAAAAACGTAACGTTACACTCACGTCTGTAGTGAATCGCTAAAACGCACCGTACATGAAATGCACGTGCAGCATGAAATTGTGTATCACCCTGGGCTGAAGCCTAATGCTCTAGGCTTTACAAAGCCACATCAATAGTACTCCACATGCATTGCTTTAAACCATTATAGACGACAAGAGAATGAAGAAACTGACAGAAGCTCAGCGACACAACGTCATCGGCCGTTTACAAGGACGGGCATCGCAGCATGAGGTGGCAAGGCACTTCAGCGTGTCCAGACAGACCATCTCAAACCTATGGACCCGATACAACAATACTGGGAGTGTTAATGACAGACCCAGGTCAGGTCGACCTAGAGTTACCACCGCCGCCCTGGATCGCTACATCCGGTTGAGACATCTTCGTTCAAACACCACGGCCGCATCATCCACAACAATCCAAATCCCTGGACTGCGTCGAATCTCCGACCAGACAGTGTGCAATTGGCTATGGGAAGCCAGACTTTTTGCCAGAAGACCAGTTCAACGTCACGTCGTTCCCTTCATCAACGTCAACGGTTGATCTTTGGAGCATGACAATGTTCGACCTCACGTTGCACGTGTTTGACAGGACTTCCTCCAGCAAAACAATGTTCAGGTGTTACCTTGGCCTTCTCGATCACCGGATTTGTCCCCATTGAACATCTATGGGTACTCTTGATCGACGCTTGCGCTAGCGTAATCCGCCACCTCAGACACTTCAAGAACTGCACACAGCACTTCAGCAAGAGTATCAAAACATTCCTCAAGACAGCATTCGCATCTTTCTTTCTTCACCGCTGCCAAGCTGTTATCGATGCTCATGGTGGTCACACCAGATACTGACATTTCACTCTGACCGAATGTTTGTCGAGTGGCTTTAATAGCCCTCTGTGGTTTTACCAAACACTTTCTGGATAATCATTGTTTTGAAATTTGTAAAGTGATGATTTTACTGTAATTGAGCAATGATGTCATGTTTGAATCAGTTATATGCACTCAGTAAATAAACTCCAAAACAGCATGTACCACGCAGTTTCTTCTTTTGAAGAGTATCCTGAACCACATTATTTTCCCTACAGTCTAGCCCTCCCTGCAGTCCTAAAGCCCTAAAAGAAGCAAGTCTAGATTTTCTAAGGTTCTGAATCTCTGGTCTGCCTTGGGCTCCTTTTCAATTTAAATGGGTTTATTTGTTACTATCAAAACTATACATCCAGAGACTAAGCCTTAGTATATTTGTTAGCCTACGGAATAAGTCTCTTTACTAAGAACATTACAAACTTCACATCAAATAACCAGTTATGAGTACGTAAGGCCGATGTCAAGAGAATTTCTGTCATTTGGCCTTAATTGAAGAGGAAGAGATCGATGTTTTGGCTATGAATAAATTCGAAGTTGAAAAAGAAAACTGATTTACCAAGCAGTAGTGGTTTACTTAGATTGTTTGATTTACACCGCCCACCAACACCCGCCCACAACCAGTCGACTGGGATTGGTTTATTTATCAAATATATACTAGCGTTTTCCTCCATGGTTTGGTTTATGTACTATTGACGTTTTGGGTTTACCTGACAGTGACTGTTTATTTAGATTTTGTTGTTGTGCCTAGCAGATTGTTTAGTTGTTACACCTGAAGGCTTTCCCTGAGTTCCTACTGTATGTACACAACTGTAAGACAACTTCTGTCATCTCTATGCTGTGCGTAAAGAAAGATAGTCTGTGCGGACAGGGGCGCTTAGAAACGAAGTAGACGGTTTTACCCAGCTATACGTAAAAGGCGACCAACGGGATCGGGGAGTCAGAATCGCTGACTTGGTTGACACATGTCATCGTATCCAAGTTGCGTAGATCGATATCATGCTACTGATCACTGGATTGTCTGACTCGATTATTTACAAACCGCCGCCATATAGCTGGAATATTGCTGACTGCGGCGTAAGACAACAAACGTGATGTGCGTCACTGAGACTCGAGTATATACTTTTAGCCTCACTGATAAATCCAACAAAACCTGGGACTGATCAGTACTAAATATATGCTCCACCGAAGGGAATAATATAAACCACATAACCTCCGGGGGGGCCCGAGAACAGACCTCGGTGACCTGAAGCTTGTCGTAAGAGGAGTATCTTGTTCTGGTTTGTCAAAATAGTTGTTATTTCTTCGTGACATTTATCTATAGTCACTCATGCGCTCTCGATATTGCTGAAACTTTGCTAGTCTCTGTTGACAGAATCACCGTGTGCTCCGTTTTATATCTCAGCTCCCTGGAGAGTGTATGGTGTTCATTGATTGGGTAAATGTCACAATGTGGTGGAGTTGTGTCCCTTTGCGTGCTTAAAATCCGTGATCGTGGGTTCTGGATCCTGATTAGTCCTTACTTTCTTGCAACAGTTAATTAACATGTATAAGTCTATTGACATTTCACTAATGATGACTCACTTATGGCCAACTACTGTAGTTTTTTCGGGCGGCGGAGTAGCCTAGTGGTTAAAGCGTTGGCTCTGCACGCCGAAAACCCGGGTTTGAATCCCCACATGGGTGCAGTGGGTGAAGCCCATTTCTGGTGTCCCCCGCCGTGATATTGCTGAAATATTGCTAAAGGCGTTGTAAAACCCAACTCACTGTTATTTTTCAATGGGTTGAAGAACTCATTAAGTTGACGACGTTCAAAGTGGCGTAAAATCAAACTCATGCTATCCAGCGTGGGTAACATTAACAGTTAGTGATTGTACAGACATCAGTACACTTGTCAGGAAGTCAAAGTGAAATCTAATTGAGAATTGTCGATACTAGGACTGAGTTCACAAAATTTGAAATGATATAAATGTGAGGTTTAACACGATGTAACGGACGGACGTTACTGCCGCAACTTGTGAGTGAGTGAGTTTAGTTTTACGCCGCTTTTAACAATATTCCAGCAATATCACGGCGGGAGATCCGGAAATGGGCTTCACACATTGTACCCATGCTGGGTGAGTGAGTTTAGTTTTACGCCGCAATCAGCAATATTCCAGATAATACCATGCAGGCAATCCGGGGATCAACAGCATGAACATCGATCTACGCAATTGGGATACGATGACCATGTGTCAACCAAGCCAGCGAGCCTGACCACCCAATCCCGTTAGTCGCCTCTTACGACAAGCATACCCATGTTGGGAATTGAACCCGGGTTATCGGCGTGACGAGCGAACGCTTTAACCACCACCTTACTCTATATCATTGTGTCATAGTTGTCATAATTGAGTAGATAGATGCTCATGATATCCTCATGGATTGTCTGGTCCAGAATCGAATTATCATTGTCCACAGCCTTGTCACACAGCTACATTATTGCCTATTGCAGCATTTCCTCCAGAAAACCAA